CGCCAAAACCGTTGCTCTTCGGGTCGGGGGGGGGGGGGGGGGGAGGAGATAATCTGAGCCCTCGTCATCGGCTCAGAAGACTGAGGCTGTCAAAACTATTGAAAGAGTCCGTCCCCAGAGGGTTGCTGTCAGTCCGGAGGAGTGATTCCTTTGAGCTGGCTTCATAAGCTTTCCACAGAGGGGACAAAAAAAAACCCTACCTGAAGCTTCTTGCCCGAGCAAATCAGGTAATGGTCATGCCCCTTCATGCTGAGCTGTTGTGCCCCACGCCTGTTCAAAAAAAAAAAAAAAAGATCCACGCTGCCGTAAAGCACGGACCATTTACAGGGAAAAGTATGACAAGGAAGATCGAAACGGGAGAGGTTTTGTTTCTTTACGAGCCTAGCTCTTGAGTCTTCCTAATACGGCTTCAGCAGCTGAAGAATAGGTGGGCAGACGATGCCACCCACATGAGGCGTATGGCTGCGGCTCCTGTCCTCGAGACGGGTGGAGCTGGCACCAGAAAAGCACCCAAGCTGAGCGCTGGAAGATTCTGAGCCATACTCCATGCAGGCTCAAGTGTCCTTATGTGTGATGTTCATGTAGAAGGATGTTCTTTGAGATGGGTTCAGCATGGGTTCAACCACCAACTTGAGACGGAACATGATGGGCCTTGGGGTCAATGCCCGGGACAGCCCCGGTGAATACAGCAAGGCTAGGCAACATGGCTGGCACAGCAGCAGGAGCACTCAAGGGAGCCTCAACCACTCAGAATGCTTCATCTTTCTGTCCTTCAGTATTAGCAGACTCTCGAGGACTGGAGAGTCCCTGTGACACATCTTGAAGCCATACGGGATACGGATGCGGGGGTTTTGCGCCCATGTTTCCACTCCGAGGTCTCGGACTTGTGGATGCTGATGTCAGAGCCAGAAGATCCAGGGCTCTGATCCTGAAGGATGCAGCGGCGTGGACGGGTGGAACCATGGAAATAGGTGCCAATGATTGTCCCCACGGGGTTGGCCTATCAGGCTGAAAAATGGCTCCTCTTGGATTGGTTGGTCCATTTCAAGCCACGAGGACCAGAAGAGCAGACAGATGTCCTGCCTATCAGAAATACAGCACTGACTCCCACCGTCTTGGCTCAGGGTGAAGGTGGCTGTTGAGCCACACGTGGCTCGAGGAAGAAGACAAGAATGGGATGGGAAACGGAAGTGAGGGCCAAAATCCAATTAAATTCTGTTTTGCTATTTACCGAGGAAGAAAAGGCAGAGAAAGTGAAGTACTGAGGAGAAAATTCCAACGATAATGAAGCAAAACCAATGCAGAGCTATGTGGTGGTCAGAAGGAATGCTCCCTCTAAGCTATGGAGTCCTGTGAGCAAAGATTCCTACTTTGTGAGTTGCTGGCATTAAAGTTGTGAGCGAGCGATTTGGCCACTGCATAAATTAGTTTGCTCTGGAGCCCCATCCTTCCTGAGCGGAGACAAAAATCTGAGCCGGAGGCTAAATACCTGCGACCTAGCTCACACTAACTCAGCTTAGAGGGAACACTGGTCGGAAGAGAGCTGTGTGAGAAGGTGCTTGCTCCTCCTTTTGAGGCACGCGTAGAAAGGCAAAAGTCAGGAGAAGGGAATCTGACCACCGACTTCAGGAATAGAATTTTCTAAAGCGACTTTGCCTTGGTAGAATCCGTGCCTGAGCCAGAGACCCTGAATAACGGGCAGGATACCTTTCAGTGAGTACTTATTGTTTTGCGGCTCAGCTGTGGTGCCCTCGCATCTGCCCCTGAGACTGTGAATGTTTGTGGGCCCTCCAAGTCCTAACAGCAGGAGCTGCGGTGGCTCAAGGGGTTAAGACGCTGAACTGCAGGCTGTGGAAGGTCGGTAGTTCAGCAGTTCGAGACCCGACTGTGCCGCATGACGGAGTGAGCTCCCGTCTCTCGTTCCAGCTCCTGCCAGCCTAGCAGTTCGAAAGCAAGAAATTGCAAGTAGGTAAATAGGTACCACTTCGGTGGGAAGGGAACAGCGTTCCGTGCGCCTCGGCGTCTAGTCATGCCGGCCACGTGACCACGGAAACGTCTTCGGACAGCGCTAGCTCTTCGGCTTGGAAACGGAGATGAGCACCGCAACCCTAGAGTCGGACTCAACTGGCTTTCGAGCAAGGGAACCTTTACCTTTACTTTAAAGCTCTGCTGGCCTTAGACTTGAAGAGAGAACTCACTTCTTGCCCCCAACATCATAAAGCACTATCCTCTTTATGCCCCCCCCACACACACACAGAAGAACTTACAGTGCTGAGCAAACTGTATTTATTGTTAAAAAGTCCACAGCTAAATACCTCTTCAAGTATGAAATGGACAGATACTTAACAAACTTTTAAATTACATGTTATTAAAAACTAGTTCATTGCCTTTCAGTACAATTCCTGCCGGAGGGTCATGTGGCTGGAGTTTCCTGTAAGTTTCCCCATGGTCTGTTCTGCAAAAGAAAGTGAGTGCAAAGTTAGAAATCAGTAGAAAAGTGCTGAGAGCTTCAGTGTAGGCCTTGTTCCGGCAAAATAACTTCCTCCTGGAGGAACGTGGCCAGGGATCATTTCCTGCAGGAGTGCACTGGAGCGGAGCTCCGGCAGTAGAGAGCCCAGGAGGCGGGCACATGCAACAAGCCCCACCCCCTGCCCCCAGCAGCCCTCAGTCAAAGCAAGAAGCAGCCAGGTAAGTTGCAGAGCCCCCCCCCGGCCCAAAACAGTCCAATGGCGCCTTTAAGACCAAGTTTTATTCAGGTACAAGCTCTCTCTCCTCTGCAAGGACAGATCTGTACGTCCCCCCCCCCTTACCTAGCAATCCAAAACAGTCCAGTGGAGGCTGAGTGGTGGGTGTTGCCTTCTGACACACTTCCAGTGATGTCAGGGGGTGTGGCATATGCAAATAAGTTATGCTAATGAGTCATGCTAATGAGCTCCTGTACCTCTTTTTCTACGAAATGACCCCTGAACGTGGCACACGCTACAGAGAGTCACTATAAGGTTACACCAGGGAAGTGAGACCAAGGAGGGTCAAAGTTGGAGAAATGCCAGAAGCTCAAGATCTGAGAGTGCTGTTTGAGTTTGTATCGCACGTGAATCTGCTTTTAAGTCAATTCAGACCCTGCCAAAGGGGTTTCCCACATATGGGAAAGCACCTGGCAGACCACAGATGGGCAAGACTGAAAAAGGGTGGTGCTGGGGAAACCAACCCAATACAGGAAAGGTAACCGAAGGGGTTGAGGCAAAGACAATGATCAAATATAGCTAAACATGCTGTGCTAATATAAAAATATACAATATATTTTAATTATGCATAGGAAATATTAAAATCACAATAAAAACCACATGTCGATGGTTCTGTATATAAGTATATAAATATAATAATATTTATATATTCTATTTATTTCAGAATATATAAATACAGGTTCAAAGATACAAAATGTGTCCAAATACAGGAACCAGACACGTTTAGGCTAAAAAGCATTCATCGGTGGTAAAATACCAGCTGGGCACTCCATAAGTTAAAACATCAGTATATTTCAAATTCATTGTATACAGAATGGACCTGAAAGCCAACAATTGTCAAATGCTAGGGGAAAAGAGAGAAAATTAAATTAACTGCCAATCAACCAATTTTTTTTAAATAAAGAGATTATTAATATTACAAGTTCTTATGTTCACTTTGAATGGGAAAGTTCATGGCGAGATACTGTTTGCCCGCCATTTATGAATCACTAAACTAGTCATCTCAACACATAGTACAGTTGCTATCTTTAACGCATAGTGGCTATCTTTCCAGGATATGCTGTTGAGCTGCAGAGAGAGTATCCATGTTGAGAAAGGTTATCTTCATTACTTACTTTATCAAGAAGCCTGCGAGGAAGTGTTGCCCGTGAAGGAGAGGCGGGGCTTGTGGAGATCAGCTGGACTGAGGCTGCCTTGCCCCCCTGGGGGTAGTCTGGTGGCCTCTCGTCATAGAGGTCCCTTGTTAAGACGGGTGGAATATCCATTAAGGAAGGATGTGGTTTTCTCCAAGAACCTCCGATGGAG